AATTCTTACCTGCTTAATCGATAGAATCTTGAAATGATCCAAGGTTAGGTGATGCTGACATATATCTGAATCTAAAAGGACTAAAAGATAGTTCAAAAATTGAGACCAAAACTAAAAATGTCCCAAGGTGTACTGTGTCCCAATGTGAGCAACTCTCCCCTAAATGTTTGTTTAATTGAGTTAACAATATTTTCAAGCAATCAATTTAATTAAATTACTTTCAATATTTACTATGGTTATTAGTAGATCTAAAAATGGCCACATGGCCAGTCAACAAAAAAAATGGTGACTTTAATTAACAAAATAGCTGATAACTTTTTTTTAGAAATTTTTTATCCATTAAAGTACATGAATCAGAACTTTGAAAAGCTGAAATTTATAATGTGTCATGTCTCCCTTCAAAATATTGAACATCAATGTATGGTGGAAAGATTCATGTGGCAAGAGAGTTCTCAGCATATGTATCGGTCAAGAAAACTTTCTGCATTTGTACCAGTGGTTTTCTATTAGAATTTCTATTATTTCGATAGGTTATGATGTACTAAATATTTGATATAAAAATTAGAGGATTTTAAATTTAACTTATATTTTAAAAAGAGAGCTCTTCTAAAAAAATTTCTGTTCATTTTTTACGTCGGATACCGTGGAATTTATCTAATATTTTTTTATATTAGCACAATTCGGTATTATGTTTGTACCATTCAGTTCAGTATTTAAAAATTTGTTATTCAGTATTAATATTTTTTCTCAAGAAAATTCCAGAATCAATAATTTTAAATCTTTTGTTTGTTTCTTTTTTTGCAGGTTGCACCACTGATTCAATTAAAAGAAAAGGAAGAGTTTTTGTTTAATATAAATTAATAATTAAATAAATTATTTTATTGCTATTATTCATAGTTAATCGAGTTTTAATTTTTATTTAGCATGATTTTTTTTAGCTTAAAACATAAGAAAAATGTTATTATTAACAAAAATTAATTTTAGAATTTTTTGCAAATATTATTTGATACATTTTTAATAAAAATTTACTTAGATCAGTTTCAGAAATAGAAATATTGCCACATAAACTTTTATTTGCTATATAGTACTAGTTTACAAAGAGGAATTTCCTTTTTTTTTTTTTAATCTCTAGAATTTTTTTCCTGTAATAATGAGCGCATTAATTTAAAGGAAATGCAATCTGATTTATTTTTCTTGGAAACATCTTGTTACTTCTGCAGTTTTCAATGACTAAAGTTAAAACAACAGAATTTAATATTACCTTATCAAAGCTCAATAATGAAGCATTGTATACGATATGAAAAATGAACAGAGCATTTTATTTTTTTCGCGGAATTCCGCGAATCCAACATTGATTTTCATATTTGACGGATGTAAGAGTTTCTCATTGTTAATCTAATCACACGATTTAAAACTCTTACATCTTGAATCGTGTTCATGTGGTTTAAAATTTCAGTGTAGCATTATGTATTTACGCGTTTCTCAAATCAATTGCGTGATTTGTATTAACGTGAATTAAAAATCCTTTGTTCTTGTTTACTGGTTCTCTGTAAAAGTTTTTTCTTAAATTAGTTACCCTAAAAGTGTGACATTCTTTATTAGTAGGTAATTTAATTATAAATCTTAGTTGAAAAAATTATATTAAATAGGAATATTATACATCTTTTTATCGTGTTTTTACACATAAAATTTTCAAGGTTTTTCACTTTGTGTCACAATCATCCCTACCTTCCAAATAAATCTTTATTTATCAATAATTTGAGGTGCCTTTTTTTTAAAAAAAAAAACTGCTCTCTGACCTCAAAAAATGAAATAGATGGTTGGTTAAAGGTTAAACTGTTAGATCAAAAATTATTTAATTTCATTTAACATTAGCTGTAATTTCAGTTGCTAGGATTTAGGAGTATAGTGTTTTTTAGCAAGGCATTATTATATTGAATCTATCTAGTGTTAAGTAACGTGCTTCATGGAAAAGTGGGAATAAACTAGTAATAATTAGTTACTGGTCTTTCTGATCAATGACTAATCCCTGAATTAGTTCAATAAACTATTTAGTTTTTTTTTAACTGTACCAGTGCAACAATATAGATAACTACGAACTCTACTGGATTTTTCCAGTTTCTCCTGGTCTACTGGTTTTATTAAAATTCTTCTGGTATTTTTTAAATTGTAGAAAATTTCCTAAAATTAAGTAAGTTTCGTAAAAAAATGCGCATTGAAATAGAATTTTCATACAGATTGTTGCTTAAATGCTTATATATTTAAAAAAGTATTACTGATACATAATGAAGCCTACCTTATTTATAGAAATCAGTTCAAATCTTTTCTTGCTCGAAAATTTTCAGTTTATTATTATTCAGAATTCTTTCGAATTAATTAAAAAATCTTTTTATCATTCATGAATTAAATGCTTATTAATATTCAAAATTATGAAAGAACATAATATATAACATTTTACATATGTTTCATGTCAATTATAAGTGGAAAATATTGCAGTTTCTTTATTTTGATGACAATAAAATACCAAAAAATTCCCTATGTGTAAAATATTTCTTACATTATACAACAATTATCATGAAACTTGTATTATTTCCTAAAATCTACTAGATTTTTTCTTCAGCTATGAGTATAGCTATAGAGAAAATTAGACAAATTTCATACTGGCCTGTAGCTAGTTGTAGCATCTTAAACTGTAGCAACTTTAAAAAACATGTGGTTAATTTTTCAAAAATTGAACATTTTAAGTCTTTAATGTAAAGCTTTCTTTTTAAGCATTTCCAAAAATAATGATGAACCTTACAAAGCTTATTCCTAAAAATGCATCCTTTTAAGAAATAAGCTATAAATAAAATAATTTTCAGAATTGTGTAATAATATATTCATTTTAATTCAATCTATATTTAAAAGTAATAATAATTAAATACAGACGGGAAGCATTTTTGACGTCCAAAGTAACAACTTGCAACCAATACTTTATTCTCCACATAGCCAGTGTTGACTATTAATTTTACCCTGTACAAAAGTTTATTGTACCTGTTGACGTGACTTAAATATTTATTTTAATGGTTGTAAAAAAAAATATTTTTTTTTGAAATTTTAATATGCAATAAATTTTATGATCATTTATAATTTTCAATATTTTTTCTCAATGTTGCTGTTTTTCTCCATGTTTGTATGTGTTGCTCTGAGTTTCATGGTGCTAAAGCTGTTAGCCAGGTATAGGTAATCTTATAATTTGATTCTACTGCCAGCCACAGAGAAAGCAAGGCATTTTCATTATCTTATAGGACTATAATAATGCTGCATGCATTTTTTATTACTATGATTTTTTTATTGCTATGTATTTATTACTATGAATTAATCTGATATTCATTCCATTATAAAACTTAGATGTATTTAAAGCAATTTAAGTATCATTTTTACTTTACCCTTTTAATATTACATCCAGAAATTGTTATTAGTATCCAACAATAACTCCATAACTCACTCTACTGAGAGACATTTGAGTAAAATTATTATATTCAGGGTTCCTTAAAAGTCCTTAATTTTTTAGCATCACTATAGTTGATAGGAACAATTTTTTAAAACAAAATGTCGCTCTTTTATCACTTAGACATCTAGGTATAAACAGTCTAAGGAAAAATCTTAGACACTTAGACTTTTATCACTTAGACACCATAGATCTAGGGTAAAGCATTTTAGAGAGACAAAAATTAATGTGGGGGGGAGGGGTTGTCAGAGGCAAGGGGAAGAAGGCATGTCCTTTTATTAATACTATATTGGTTCTTTCATTAATATATTCTGCCTTTCTGCCCTTTGCTTAGTATGATACTCTATAAGGAGAGTGAAGCATTCTAAAAAAAAAAGAATGGTGTAGACAAGGGGAATACTGCACTTGGAAGAGATAGTACTTTTTTTTCAGGGGGGGAGCAGTTTTAAAGTACCTAAGTACAAGATCCCCACTAATCTTCAAAATTCAAGAAATTCAGTTCTACTGGTAATGCATCTGCTTATAGGAATTAAGTAAAACGCTAAGAAAAGAAGTAACAGAAACTTTTTTAACTAGAATCCATACCGAAAACTATTTTCTAAATTCTTGAAGAATTAAATAAAATTGTATAATATTTCAATGTATAATAACTGTTACTTTATAGAAAGTATAACATTTTTTAAAATTCATGTTAGTACTAAAAATTAAACAGATTTGTAAGAAACAGGGTTTGAAAAATTCCTGCCCAGCAAGGTTTTTCATCAAAAACCTAGGGTCTATTGGGGGTTTTGAGGAGAACCTCAAGTTTTCTTTCAAAAATACTTAAGTTTTTCCTTCCTGAGTACTAAATAAGAAATCATGATTTGCTTCTAACAAGAAAGTTTATTATTTGGTAACTATTTATGATTTCTTTTGTTGCAATGCAAAAAAAATTTAAGGTAAGATTGTTACGCTATTACTTTTATTTCTTAAGCTTACGCAAATTGTTACATAAAAACGTAAATCTGCTCATTTAAAAGATCCTTAGATTTAAATAATCATTTTACTCAGTTAACATTGCAACTTAATATACTTTTAAATTCTGTTCAATTTTTAGTTGCTTTAAAATTAGTTCATGTTTTTGTCAAAATGTTTAGTTACATTATGTAAATTCCTAAGAACAGGTTTGACTGGAAATAAGTTCATCATAAAAGTAAAATAACACATTTTGTGATCTAGCAGCAAAATATAAAAACTTGTTGAAATAACTTTTTCAATGTTATGGCGAATTTCTTTATTTACTCTTTTTTTTTTAATATACATGAAAAAATTGCAAATCTTGATTTTTGCACTTAATTTTACAATTCAATTTCAATGAAATCATTAAAAATGGAATGCAGATTAGTTTCATACATTAACTTTTAAATCTGAATGGCGTTAACTTTTAACAATCTGAATTTTTTTTTTTTTAAACCTTCCTGGATTTAAAAAAAAAAATTTATTGTTTTTTAGTGTTTTTTTTTATTGATTGATTCTTTTAGGAAGGTAAATAATTTGCACTGTTGTTGGTGTCATGTATATTCGATGATAAACAATCATACCATTTTTAAAGTCCTTAATTTTTCAAAAAAGTACTTAATCCTTAAAAGTGCTTAATTTTTGCTTTGTTGAAAGAGTGAGAACCCTGTTATTATATGTAATTAGAGTTTTACTCATAAAAATGGTCTGAATGCGCATAAACATATTCATATAGATTAAAAACCTTATTCTTGTAGATGTGAAAAGTGTTTTTACAGATGACTCATCTAAATAATCACTTATGCACTCATACTAGTAAGAAACCTTGTGCTTGTAGTATATGCAATAAGAGTTTTTCAGAACAGTGTTATCTAACTGTATACAATGGCATTCATACTGGTGAAAAACCTTATTCTTGTAATATTTGTAATAAGATTTTTTCACAATATAGACAGCAATTTAAATACCTTCACACTCATACTGATGAGAAACCTTATTCTTGTAGTTTTTGAGGAAGGAGTGTCTAACTAATCACACTCATATTGGTGAGAAACCTTAATCATTTAATAATTTTTTTTCAGGTAGATTTAATCTTGACTTTTCACATAGCATTTTAACAGTGGCAACTTTTTTATACATGTAATTACTTTTTTAATTACATCTTAACAGACATGCCAACTGCTAGGACTGGGCGATGTAAGAAATTTTACATCATCAGTTTTGCATCTCGATATAGTATTTTTGAAATTCATTTGCTTGTAAGGTGCAGAAAGTCGGATTTCTATCAAAACTTCATACTCAGATTGATTTAAATCAATTTGAATTTGATGTATATGTTTTGCTTAAGAAAAATATTAATGTTATATTTTCTAAAAATGATCGCGCAAATAACGAAAGATTTCTTAGTTTAAAAGTAAATAATAAAAAAAAAAATAAAATTGAAATTTATCAATGTATTTACCTAACAATATAGAANACAAGAAAAAAGTAAGGTTTAATTTCTTAAAAATAAAAACAAAAGAATTATGATATTCGATAATATATTCAACTGACAATATTGAAGGAAAATTAAAAAGCGCTATTATACTCTTTAATAAAACGAAGTACTAAATGATTTTAAAAAAAGAAGTCGCAATCGCAAACATTACTAATTTTTTTGAATGAACACAATTGATTGACTTATGTCCAAATCCAATAGAGGAAAAGTAAGTTTTGTTATAATTTTATGTATAAAAATGACAACAACTAAAGATTAATAAATTTGAAATCAGTAATAAAAACCCATTAAATTATTATTTTATCCAAAAAGTTTTTAATAAATTAAAATAAAGTAAAAAGTACCCTAACAAATTTAATTACTTTTTAATTTAATTCTTTATGGGCACCTTAAATTATATTTCCGATTGTAATAAATTCAATAATGTAGAAAAATACTTAAACATATAATATCAAAATTAATTTTCACATTTAAAAATAAAAAAGAAAGTTTTGTTACAAAAAAAAACTTTTACCTAATTAATTAAGAAACACTTCTTTATGTATTCTTTTCAATTATAGATTACGTTCAGAACGGTGATCACAAAGTCAGTTCCACTGAAAATAATCTACAAGAAACGATATCAAGTCACCACAAAGCAGAAAAAAAAACTAAGAGGTGCGGAAACGAACATGCGAGATAACGATATATGTTCTTAAAACTTATTCTGATTCTACCATGTTTCTTATTTTTATATTCTATAAATTATGTTCTTGTAATTTATCTTATCAATGCATATAAGTTATTATTTTTCTTCCTCATATTATTGTGTAATTTTTATTTTATTTTTCAATTCTTAAGGATTAAGTTTTGAATATATTTTGTTTGCTTCAATTTTTTTCAAAATCCTAAGTCTTTTTTTTTAATTTTGAAACCTTTTTTTTTTTAAAAAAAAAACTTGTGCATGACTTTTTTTTTTTTTAACTTACATACTGTGAATTTGTTATTTTATAATTATAATTTCAGTGTATGCAAAGTTGAAGTTGATTAGTGAAGAGTTTGTTGTAATTAAATTCTTAGACTTTTAAAAACTTGATTTTATTTTATAATTTTCTTGGAGATGTATATGATTAGTATCAGCATATGTACTTAAACAAGTATATTGACCTTTTAAAGTGCGAGTTTTTTATTATTTTATGCAATTTAATTGTACTTTTAGTTTATAAGATATTCAAAAATTATGCATTTAAGATATTTAAAAATGTATGCATTTAATTTTAAAAGTGCAAATTTAATCCCGGTGTATTGATTTATGGTGTAGTCTAATCGCGATAATTGCTCCTGACAAGCCTTCCTGAAAGTTGATTACTTTAAAATAACATCCTAATGTAAAGCTTTCTTTTTAAACTTTTCCCAAAATATGATGAACCTTACAAAGTTTATTCCTAATACTGCATCAATTTAAGAAACAAGTTGCAGAAAAGGAATTTTCAGAAAAGTTTATCGAAAAAATAATAATTTACATGTAATTTTGACGTTTGGGGCACTTTTGACGTCTAAAGTTGGGACTTGAAGACAATTTTGTAAGTGCTTCATAGCCAGTGTTGACTGTCTCTTTTGCCCTGTACAAGAGTTTTTTGCATATGTTGGCATAATTAAAGTTTTTTTTTTTTTTTTGGTAACAGAAAAAGTTTATTAAATTTGAATACGCAACATATTTTTAGACTATTAATGACTTTTTATTTTTTTCTCAATGTTCAATTAATTATTTTTCTTTTCAATGTTGCTTTTTATAGTTGGATGTGCATTGTTCTGAATTTCATGGTACTTGAAGACCAAAGATATTAGACAAGAATAGGTTATCTTAAAAATTGTTTCTACTGCCAGCCACAGAGAAAGCAAGGCATTCTCATTATCTCATATGACTATGAAAAATACTGTGCATTTTTTATTACTATGTTTTTTTTATTGCTATGTATTTATTACTTTGATTTTCATTCCATTGTAAAACTTAGATGTATTTATAGCAATTTAAATGCTATTTTTGCTTAGCCCTTTTAATATTATATCCAGTAATAGTCATTAGTATCCATAACTCATTCTAAGAGACATTTGAGTAAAATTTTTAATGATGTTTTTCTAAAAATGTATTTTAACTTGTCATAAGATGGTTCACTCTTAAAAAATCTTATGATGGTAATATATTTAGATCTTTGAAATAATAATTAGCTACATACAGATTAATACAGTTGCATTTTATACAATATGAGTTTTTTAGTAGACGGTAACATGATTATGCTCAATGTTAATACTAATAAGAATCTTTATTTCTGTGTTATATGTAATAAGAATTTTAAACGGAACAGTCATCTGACTGTGCACAGTCGTTCTCATACTGGCGAGAAACCTTATTCTTGTAGTATATGTAATAATAGTTTTTCACAAAGGTGTCATCTAAATAACCATTATCTCACTCATACTGGAGAGAAACCTTATTCTTGTAGTATATGTAATAAGAGTTTTTCAGATAAGAGTAAACTAACTAAACACTGTCGCACTCATACTGGTGAGAAACCTTATTCTTGTAGTATATGTCAGAAAAGTTTTTCAGAGAAAGATAGGCTGACTGTGCACAATCGTTCTCATACTGGTGAGAAACCTTATTCTTGTAGTATATGTAATAAGAGTTTTTCAGATAAGAGTACACTAAATAGACACTGTCGCACTCATACTGATGAGAAACCTTATTCTTGTTGTATATGTCAGAAGAGTTTTTCAGAGAAGAGTAGGCTGACTTTGCATAGTCGTTCTCATACTGGTGAAAAACCTTATTCTTGTAATATATGTAATAAAAGTTTTTCAGAGAAGAGTATACTAACTAAACACTATAGCACTCATACTGGTGAGAAACCTTATTCTTGTAGTGTATGTGATAAAAAATTTTCAAGGAAGGATTATCTAACTAAGCACAATCGCCAGCATAATGGTGAATACCTTTATTCTTGTAGTATATGTAAAAAGAGTTTTTCATATAGGTCTCTTCTAACTGTACACTATCGCTCTCATACAGCTAAGAAACTTTTTTCTTGTAGTATATGTAATAAGAGTTTTTCATATAGGTCTCTTCTAACTGTACACTATCGCTCTCATACAGCTAAAAAACTTTTTTCTTGTAGTATATGTAATAAGAGTTTTTTATATAGATGGGATCTAACGGAACACAATCGTACTCATACTAGTGAGAAAGCTAATTCTTGTAGTATCTGTCATAAGAGTTTTTCAACGAAGGGTAATCTGACTAGACACAGTTGTTGTCATACTGGTGAGAAACCTTATTCTTGTAGTATATGTAACAAGAGTTTTACGGAGAACAGTAAACTAAATAGACACTGTCGCACTCATACTGGTGAGAAACCTTATTCTTGTAGTATATGTCAGAAGAGTTTTTCAGAGAAGAGTAAGCTAACTAAACACTGTCGCATTCATACTGGAGAGAAACCTTATTCTTGTAGTATATGTCAGAAGAGTTTTTCAGAGAAGAGTAGACTGACTTTGCATAGTCGTTCTCATAGTGGTGAAAAACCTTATTCTTGTAATATATGTAATAAAAGTTTTTCAGAGAAGAGTAAACTAACTAAGCACTATCGCACTCATACTGGTGAGAAACCTTATTCTTGTAGTATATGTCTGAAGAGTTTTTCAGAGAAGAGTTGTCTGACTAAACACAATCGCTCTCATACTGGTGAGAAACCTTATTCTTGCAGTATATGTCAGAAGAGTTTTTCACAGAAGAGTAGTCTGACTAAACACAGTCGCTCTCATACTGGTGAGAAACCTTATTCATGTAGTATATGTAAGAAGAGTTTTTCCGAGAAGAGTCGTCTGACTGTGCACATTCGCTCTCATACTGGTGAGAAACCTTATTCATGTAGTATATGTCAGAAGAGTTTTTCCGAGAAGAGTCGTCTGACTGTGCACATTCGCTCTCATACTGGTGAGAAACCTTATTCATGTAGTATATGTAAGAAGAGTTTTTCACATAAATGTTATCTAACTAAACACAATTGCTCTCATACTGATGAAAAACCTTGATTTTGTTACCAACGTAATAAAAAATGTTTTGTTAATTTCTTCATTTTTACTCCTATTTTTTCATATATTGCGTAATTGTGTTTGCCTCTGAGTAACTTAATTATTTTAGTGAGTGTAATAAGCGATTTTTTGAAATTAAGTGATCTAATCTAGCCTTTCATTTATTTTCATTGTAGTTTTTAAAATTCATTCTTGTACTGCTATTCAATTTAGGTGTCTCCACTTCTCAGATTTGTGATTTCTCCGTTACCGATTCTTCAATCCACTTTTAATTCATTATTTCTTTTTTACTACACATCCCAATTTTTCCAGGAGGTTGGTTATCCTAAATTTAAATTGTTCTCACCCACCCTCCCTCAGATATCAACTAGCAATGATAATGGAATGGTTGATTTAAGTCTTAGATAAAATGAAAAGTTTTCACAAAATCTCAACTAAAAAGAACTCCTGCATGCATTGCTGTTGAACTCTTGGAATTTGTTTCAACCCTTTTGTCTCCTCATTTTGTCCAAATTTGTTTGAAGATCACAGATTTTCTGACAGGTTTTATAGAACTGTATTTTTCAGGGATAAATTTGATAAAAATTAAAAAAAATATAAATCCAAAAATGTTACGCCTAAACACTTTTTAAGTAATTGAAATTGGAGCATGTGTAAAGTGTGTAGTCCCATATGTTCATAAAATGTTATCAATGTTTTAATGTAGGTATATGGATGCGAGATTCTATTTATTTAAAATGTGTAAATATAAATCTCACAAAAATGAAAGTCTCTAAAATGTATAAACAGTTACTAGGCACTTTTTTCGATTAATCTAATAAGGTGAAACCTTTATTTTTAATCATTATTTTCATCATTTTTAACAGCACAATTTCTTGCTGTTACATCTATGAAATGCGTCTATTTACGAATATTGCGGAATCGTGGCACGCACAATTTGTCACTGGTACAACTCGTCGTAGCAAAAAAGGAAAATTACAGTAGCTTTTTTTAACAAATCTTAATCCATTCATAATCCCTCATAATTCCCAGAAAATATTTTATTATTCTTTTTAAGAAGACTAATTATTAAGCAAAAAACGCTTACTATCGTTTTCATCTGAAACGGGGAGTCACGTGATTATTAACGAACTGATGTTATTCATGTCCATCTGCCGTTCATTTATAATTGTTATGCAATGTAAGCGATTACGTTCTGATTTTTCCTAATAAAATCCAACTATTTTAGAAAGTAAATAACTACGTGAGAACAAGGATATATATATATATATAACATAAAAAGCTTCAATTAATCTTTTTATGTTATCCTAATTAATTATTCCAATCGAAATACTTTTTCACACTTTTAAAAGCCACATCCTGTTCATAAATCTATTTTTGGCTCAACTATGCATTTAATTAAAAGCAGGACATTTTTCCCTTTGCTCTGTGTGGGAAACGCTCGATCTATTTGATAAACCAATAACAACTATACTAAGATTTCCCTCTTTCCCTAAATTA